CCGACTGAATGACCAAGTAAAACGGAACCCTAACTAGCCCTTTTACACACAACCTAAGACTTCACTCGGCTCGAACAAGGATACCGAGGCGAGCTGAATCAAGATACTAGATAACTTGGCTTCTTCTTCTCTCCCCTAAAACCCAGACAACCCAAAAACATCAAGACTATTCAGCTTAAAAAACACTCCCCTCTCAAAAGTATTTCTTTCTCTACCAAAAACACACCAAATAAATGCACTCACAACCAAAATCCACTGGAAATTACAAGAAATAGGTCCCAAAACCATATTCCGGCAAACCCCAACCTATTCGCCACTAAAACACTCTAAAAACTCCTAAAACCACTCCAAATTGTTCCTGAAACTCTCAAAATCCAAAGAAAAACGTGAGAATTACAAATATTTGAAGAGAAACTAGAGATTTATCGTGCAAAAAAAGACGGAAATCGCAATAAAGAAGACTCCTCTGCAAACACAGTTTTTCTTTTTGGAAACGAAGATTGGAAGATGAATAGTCGTCAAATGAATTCTTCTCTTTTTCTACACCCTCAATCTGTCAAAAGCAACACGCAGCAACTGGCGATTGGGTGTGACCATTCAAATTCCCACCTAAAAGGTAGACAAAATCCCCATTGTACACGTGCCGTGCTTTAGGCCCACTTCGGGATTCGCAACCTTCCCTTTCCCGCTCGTCGTCTGTGAAACCCTACAATACACGCTTCTCATCCTCTTGGATCCACCAAATCACATTCAAACAAAACTCGACTCTCCCAAACAAGCCAACTTGACCTCCAGTCCTCGAAGTGATGAAATCTTCCTCTCAAAGATCTATGGGTAGACAACATTAGCACTCAGTTTGATCAACCGAGTGAGGTCATTTATAAAGGATGTACCTTACGTCCTCTCACTCGGCTCGATCAACCAAATGAGAACACCTACAAAGGATGCACCTGGCATCCCACCACTCGGCTTAGTCAACCGAGCGGGAACAGCTACAAAAAGATTATACCATGCCTTCTATCACTTGGCTCAATCAATCGAATGGGCTTAGCTACACAAGGGTGCGCTTCGCATTATATCACTCGGGTCGTTTGGCCGAGTGAGAACATCTACAAAAGCACTTTGAATCATTCATCAAGGTGAGATGTCTTCATTCAACCGAGCGAATACTCAATTGGCCCGATATGTCATCGGCCTAGTTAACCTCTCTTCGGACCAACTACTCTCCAAGCTAAATACTTCTTAGCTTAGAGAGTGAGGGGTTAACTGTCTAGGCCAAAAATCGTCTTGGGTAAGCAAGTATTTTCTACTACGTAGGCCCAAGGCCATGGCCCAATTTTGGTTGGGCCAGCATCAGAATTCATGGCATGGGCCAAAACATGCGGTCCAAATCCAACCTTTCTCCAGAATAGGCATCACTTGTAACCCACCTAAGGCCAAGCCTTCCAGACCAAGGTAAGTAGGACTCTCCCTATTTGGGTTCTATCCTAATTTGCCCAAGATTCTATATCTTAGGTGAATCAGGACTCTTAGTACTAGTAAGGCAAATGAACCAGGATATTTCCTATTCACAAAACCTCTACCATTATAGATTCAAAGCCCTACTAGGATACAAAGATCTTACAACTACTATATAAACAGGGGTCATTCATCTGTTTAGGCATTCAATCTAAATACCACCTACTTGCACCCAAGCTCTTACTCCTAAGAGTTATATACCTACATCATGGTTTTAGTCTCAGACTAAACTTTCGATAACCCTTTCTTTCCTTAACCCTTACTAAATTAGCCTCACTCAGTCTTACTGACTTGAGCGTCGAAGTGCCTACGACAAACACCACCCTAGGTGTTTCCCGTTTGCTTCACGCTTGTTTCTTTGTGTGTGCAGATACAGCAGATTGCTAGTGGCCTCAATCTCATGGGATCAGACCCTCTTTCTGTAACCATAAATATTACCATCTACAGTCAATAACATTAATTATTTCATAGATAAGAACAAATTTTCCCATTAGCTTAAGATTTCCTACTAAATTTCACAGAAATTATATGAGAAATTAATGGTTTCTCATTCTGTTTCCTACTTTGATCAAGAGAAAAAGTCACAAATTTGGATCATGATTAGAGCAACAGTTGGTGGATTTATACTTCTAGTACTATTACTCATTTTCAAAATATCCGTCGGAGGAAGAAAGCAAGAAGAGCAACTCAACTAAACGATCCATTTGGTAATCAAAAACAATTATTTCTCCACTGCACTCTACATAATTACTGCTCCATTGGTTATAGTTAGCTTCATATTCATGCAGCATCTTGGGACTAAAAGACACCACTACTAGCCCTCCTAAAATCAATGGTCCAAGAGTCTTGGTTGTCAATTTCTGCAATAATTTTCTTGGTCGTCAAATGAGCACAAACACTAGTTAATTCCCTTTGGATGTTGGGGGCCATCATTTGATGGTTTTTCGGAGCATTCTCTAGCACAACTTTTTTTATGTCGTCATTATGATTGGATAGAAACTTCAATAGTTCCATAAAGTTACCTTGATTTACAAATACAAACAACTCGTCATGACCACGAAATGCCAATCCTTGATGTAAAAGAAATCTAATGCAATCAATTGATGCATTCAAGCGAATGCGATAGTCCAATTTGGCCTTTTTCGACACGCAAGCAAGATTTATATCGATGTGTTGCCTTTGGTTTATCAAATCAACACACTTGGCATGACATTGGTTATGAGTACTAGAATGATCTCCAACATGTTTTTTTGCTTTCGCTTTATCTTTCCAATTATTAAATCCCTTACTCACAAAAACTTCACCACCTACTTGGTCACCATAATCAGTTTTGAAAAGATAACAATTTAAACAAAAGATGCAATCTTTTGCCATACTATATTTCATCCAACTTGGACCTTCTTTGTATCACTCTGGTGTAAACCTATGCTTTTTATCTCCGAAAAGAGTGAAAGGAAAGTTATGATCTTTAGGTTGGCAAGGACCTTTCAACAAGTATGCTCTTCGAACTTCTTCCTTTTGCTTGTCAGTACAACAAATCTCGTTAATTGGTATCCTCAATCCCGGATCAATTTCAAGCTCATCTAAATTGAACATCTCGACCGAAGGTTGAGCTTCTTTTACTTGGTGTTGTTGTTGTTGATATGAGGCTTCTTCTTCTAATGGGATTTGATTAACCTCAATATCAATAGAGTCTCCATCAACAATTTCTACTGAAATTTTCTTTAATCTCTTGAAATAATTGGATATCATAGCTATCAAATAAGAAAAAGATAATATGATACATGTAAAGAAATACCAATGAAACTTTAATTAATAAAATTACAAGGGCTGACTTATTACGTTTTTAGATGTAACAATTAGATCTAATTAAAATATTATGTTAGTAATTAATTAATCATTTTATTGTGTTAATTTTCTTATATTTAAAATCATTTTAGTGAAATTTAAAAACTTATATAATTTGCTAATCAATTTTTTGACTTATTTAAATTATTGGCATAGAACAACTAGATTTAATTAATTACTATTAGAGCATACTTAGTCAACTAATCACATTATAAAATAATAAAATATCATTATTAATATATTATGATGTTGCAAATCAAGCTGTCCTCTAATTATATAAAAAATAATATTTTAAAAATGTATTTATGATATTAAAGTACAATTAATATAATGTTTTCAATCAATTACAAAATCAAACAAACACGAAGTTTATATTTTTTTTCATCAGAATAAAAAACCTCCATAAAAATAAATATGATTTAACCTTAAAATAAACTAACACTAAAATAAGTAATATATATACCTAAAATTGATAAAGCAAAAAAATAGTCTTCAAGTTGTAACTTCAACCGACCCAATAAGACATGAGAAAAAAGGCGTACTCACTAAATAAAATTAGGGATACAAATTTGTGGTTTTATAGAAATTGGCCGCATATATTATATATATATATATATATATATATATATATATAATTATATATATAAAATACATTTAACTAATGAAACTAGTGAGCCAGCGCATAGCCGCAATATTATGATGGGTGAGCCTGCATTAACATATTATAGCATTTAGATTGATTGTGGGCCATATATATTTGTACCTTTTTTATATAAAAATCATTAATTATAATATTTTCAATTTTTTTTCAAAATCCTCAAGCAGGCTGGATCCACCCCTGTCCGAGACGTTAATCAAATAGTTTTGTAAAAACATGTTTTGTCAAATGTACAACATGTTTATATATGGCCACCCCGAACACAATATATATAAATTTTAGAAAAGCTATTTTTTGAGAGAGACATATTTATAGTTTATTCTAAATTCAAGCCCGAAAATTGCACTAATTAATCAACTTACCAAAATTATAATATATTTTAAAAATTCAGGGGGTTTTATATTGCACTGTTAAGTTTTTGATATAAACAGTCAAAGAGTAATATAGTAAATATTTATTTATTTATTATGTTATAAAATATAAATTTAAGAATATATTAGTTAGGCTAGCGTTTGGTGTAATATTTTTATCCCTATTCTGGATCCTATTTTTCAAATAGCGTTTGGTACAATATTCTCAAAATATTACCCTATTTTTTTTAATTACATTTTAACCCTATAAAGTTATTAATTTCACTAAATACCCCCTGAAAAAATTAGTAAACCTAAGGGCTTTTTTATAAATTTTTAAAATTTACCTCGTAATACTCCCATATCCAATAACCCAATACTATCCCTAAAATCCTATCCAAAATACTAAACCAAACGCACCCTTAAGTATTAACAACTCATTAACGGAAAGTTTTGATATTCAATTAATATATTAACAGTAAAAGAGAATTTTTATTTTTTTATCATTTTATATTTTAACTAAGAATGACAAACTTACATTCACAGATCACTTTGCGCCGTCCACCAAAGAATTTTCAACTCCTCCCCTTGACAATTCACAAACACCCTCTGAAACTCTGTCGAAAATGTTCCTTAAAACTTCACTTATTTCTTCCACAACATCTTCAAAAGTTAGATTTTTATCTTCACTCGTTGATCCTTCAGTTTCCAAAAATCAACTCACAAAATCATTCAAACCCACCTCTGCTTTTAAACACCATGCTCAACTTGATAATTTCCTCCGTGTAAACTGCAGATCAGGTAACTTCTCTCTTGATGAAGCTCTTTATTTCTTCGATTACATGATGCATATGGACGACACTCCTATGTCATCATTCGGTGTGTTGTTTGCTGCAATCGCTAAGAAAAAACATTTTGATCAGCTTCTTGTGCTGTACACGAGATTCATATCAGCTGGGTTGTTGCCTGATTTGATTATTTTGAGCATTGTTATTAATTGCTTATGCAAAAGAGGTAGGGTTTCTGATGGTTTTATTATTTTTGGGAGTATTTTTCGAAGGGGTTTTAGTCCAGATAATGTGACTTTTACTTCTCTGATTCGAGGTCTTTGTATGGAGGGTAAGATTAAGAAGGCAACTGAATTGTTTAGGAGAATGGTTGGTTTTGGTTGTAGGCCTACTTCATTTACATATGGGACTTTGATTACTGGGTATTGTCAAACAGGCAATATCTACGCTGCCCTTCAGTTATTTGAAGAAATGGTTAGTGGGAATGGGGAATTTGGTTTCATTTGTAAGCCTGATATTGTTTGTTATTCTAGTATTATTGATGGTCTTTGTAAATATGGGTTAGTAGACAAGGCGAAACAACTGTTTTCAGAAATGAAGACTAGGAGCATTAACCCAGACGAGGTTACTTACAACTCTCTAATTTATGGTTTGTGTCATACATTTAATTGGGAGGAGGCTAAAACTTTGTTTCTAGAAATGTTAGATGAAGGTGTACAGCCTAGTGTAGTGACATTTAGTGTGCTAATAGATGAGCTCTGTAAGAATGGAAAGATGAACGAAGCCAATGGATTGCTCCAAGTGATGATTAATAGAGGTGTTCATCCCGACACAATTACTTATAACACAATTCTGAGCGGTTATTGCTTGGCTGGTAGAACTGATGATGCAAGAAAGCTATTTGATTCTTTGGCAAGTAAGGGGTGTAAGCCTGACGTTTTTAGCTACAATATTTTGATCGATGGCTTGTGCTTGGCAAACAAAATTAACGATGCTAAGGAGTTGTTTGCTTCAATGTTAAGTAAGGGATGCACACCTAATGAAGTTAGTTACGGTACTCTGATCAATTGGTATTGCAAGAACCGAAAAGTTGATGAAGCTATGTGTCTTTATAAGGAAATGACTTCAAATGGAGTTCGGCCTGGAGTTGTTATTTATAGCACCATGTTGACCGGTCTTTTTATGACTGGTAAAGTTGGACATGCACGGAAACTATTTGGTGAGATGAAACTTAATAATGTTCCCCCCAATTTAATTAAATATAATATTCTTATTGATGGGTTTTGCAAAAATGGTTGTGTTTTGGAGGCTGTTGAACTGTTTCATACTTTAAAAAATGTAAACATTCAACCTGAAATCAGAACTTTCAATTGTCTCATTGATGGGTTGTGCAAAACAGGGAGACTCAAAATTGCGTGGGGACTATTTCACAGATTGCAAAATAAAAGCTTGGTTCCAGATGTTGTGACATATAACATTATGATGCATGCACTTTGTAAAGAAGGGAAAGTAGAGACGGCAAATAATTTGTTATTTCATATGGATCAAAACGGTTGTGCTCCAGATTTCATCACATTTAATACGCTTATGAATGGTTTCTTGCGGAATAATGAGACATAAAAAGTGGTTGAACTTCTTCACAAAATGAAAGAGAGAAATATGAAGCCGGATGCATCCATAGCTTCAATAGTTGTAGACTTACTGGTAAAGGATAAAAATGATCCCGTATGCTTAAACTTGCTTCCATCATTCTCTACCCAACAACCAACAGGATGTTGATTGTTGAGTAATTGTATTTCCAGTGGAGTACAGCTTATCACGAGAGCCTTGTTAGACCTCAAAGTTTCCATGTAAAGGTGTGTGCCATAGTCATACTGGTGATTGTACTTATTTTAATCCTTTAATGAAGAAGTCAAACATGTGAAGTTATTTTGGACATAGTTCTTACTAAAAACCTGTGGGATAATTTAAATCTTTATTTTTTGTTGACTGCAATCCACATTTCAATTTTCTTAATGAGAGTAAATCTTTTAGATGATTGGCCGATGGTGAATTTTGCATTCGTATTTGTGTGCACTCTAGTGTTCTCCCCATTCCCAAAAACCATGAGAGGTGGTATACTAAATTATAGTTTAGTGTTCAGCTCACCAGTATGCTAGTCTGTTGGTGTTGCTGGAAGTCTCTTTTATTTATTTTCATGATATCAGAATTCTTGAAGCCCTTAGATACTTGTATGGTTGAGTATATGTATTTTTTCTTGTTGGATTAATATGTTTCATAGTACCCATGAAAATATCTATTTTGAGCACCAAAGTAGTGAATTGACTTCTGAATGTAATTAATTCTGAAGTGATCTAAAGTTAAGAGTAACGATGCTCAGCTCAAAATATACCCAAATTTCATCTTCATCTTTGGTGTAATCCTCATCTTCATCTTTGGTGATCTAGCATGACTGTCGAGTTGCTATATTAGTATGTATCTGACACATCATTGTTTCTGACAGGTGCCTATTGATGTTTCAAAGGAATCACTGATGAAGATGCTGCTAAAGGTTGTAGATGGTTTAACACCCAAGGCCGCTGATAGAAATGAGGCTATTGAATAAGTGAATAAATTGAGTAAACTCTTTTGTAAGTGTGACTGCACGTTACTGGAAGTCAGCATAAACTTTTTTATTTTATCTCAATTGTTGTTGATCTGTAGTACACTAGTACTAGTACATAGGCTTAGATGGTGAAAATGGTTGCATGGTGAATGGTGCTGTATTAGAGATGACTACCATGTATACAATCAAATTACATGGGGGAACTCCTTCCAATTTTCTTATGGGAATGATTCTAAAGGGCAGGTAATAATTCAAGACTCTGTTTTTACTGCTTGGAATAACTGGAAGGATCAAAGAATATTACCTATTTTCTCCAATAATATGAAAAAGGAAAGAACGGAAAATTTGTTGGTGATGGCCAAACATTGAATTTTAAACGGTCTCTGGAATTATACTAATAGCATTATTTTTGTTTGATCTTGTATACAAGGTGGACCTAAAAGTACTAGTGGTGGTTCATCTTGAAGGCACCAATGTCAACCACAGAAAGAGAATACTTCTGGTAAATCTGGAATTTGATCAGATATGAAACTTCATGAACCAAAGTGATACTACATGACAACAATTTTAATGGTTTTTCATTTTCTCTAATGGTTCCGCAGGAAAGTGGTATCAGAAAAGATCACGGTTTTCACTACCAATTATAAAGAAAGAATAGACCCAGCCTTACTGCGACCAGGTCGAATGGATGTCCACATTAACCTCTCTTATTGCACCTTCTCTGCCTTCAAGCGGCTTGCACCCAACTACTTAGAGATTTTCAATGATGAACTCTTTCCCCATATTTAGAAGCTCATTGGTGAGGTTAAAGTTTCCCCTGCTGATGTTGCTGGTGAATTCATGAGAGTCAAAAGTTCCAAGAATTTTCTCGAGGACTTGGTCAAGTTTATGGAAACTAAGGTACTTTAAGATCTCTCGTTGCAGCTACTTTAAAATTTCTTCCAGAAATTTATCAAAATTCTTTTACTTGTCAATTTATAAAGGAATCAGAAGAACGATCCTCAGTCGCGGCAGAACAAGAGAATGACAATAACTCTAATCAGAAAACTGAAGGTGTAGGACAAATTTCTATTACTATATGAGACAGCTGAATGGACAAATGATTTGGTTACGAATCAAGCATTAATTTCTAAGTATGTGATAAAGGCAGAACTTGTGGCTATACTTGAAGCTGATTTTTTCGAAGCATTGATACATTGTGGCCAACACAACCTTTGCATTCTATGCAATGTTCATCTCTTTTGGAGATTCTTTATGGCATAATCCAGAAGTTGCAAGCAACTAAGTTACAAGACTTGACACAAGTTGAGGTGAAGGCCATGATCTGAGGTTGAAGATCTTGAATCAGCGAAGCTGGAAGTGGGGTGGCTGCATAAGAGGTTGGATCAGATTAGAAACACAATGCGATTGATTGACTAGCCCACATTCGGTTGAATTTTGTTAATGAGAACCCGTTGTATTGCAAAATGTCCTCTATGCCCTTGACTATTACTATGTTATTAGGACTTGTCCTATAAATGTGATTGACTTTTTGGGGATCAAAGTTCAAAGGAAGCCATCGTGGGGAATATCTTACATCCCTACATAGTTTCCAAAACGTTTAATAACAACCCTACATAATAACATACAACTACATACTGGTTATTATTACTGTCATTTTTACCCCTTCAGTTGCATTTTATTATTATTACTATTGTCCTTAAACTTTTGGCCAATAATACATAGTTATTAGTAGAGCTGGCAGTGGACCGTGTCAGTTCACGACACGAAAAAAGCATGGCACGACAAGGCACGGCACGACATAGCATGAAAATATGAGTGTCATGCTGTGGGCCTTAAAAAAGGCATATGGACTGGCATAGCACAGCACAAAAAAAAAAATAAATTAAAATTAAAAAATATAAAAATATAAAAATAAATTTATAAGAATTTAGAAATTAATGAAAATGAAGATGTATAATAATTCTTAATCCCAATTTCTAAGTTTGTATTTGTAATTTATAATTAGAACTTATAATTAATAAAAAAATGCTAAAATTCAATTAATATTTCAATGTATAATTATTTGATTATATTTCATAGTGATTATATATTTTTTAATTAATATAAATACAAAATGTCACTAAATATAACATATAAAATATTTTTATAATAATTATTAATAATAAATCAAAATTATCATAATTTATAAATATTAAAATTAAATATTTTTATAAAGCATGTGGGCCAGCCCATGAACGACCCAAGGCACGGCATGATATATGGTAGGTCGTGCCATGAGCCTTCAAATTTGGTGGGCCGGCACGGCACGACAGGGCACAAATTTTTGCAGGCTTTGGCACGGCACAACCCACAGCACGATGTGCCTTAAATTTTTAGGCATGGCATGACAGACCCACTATCACCTCTAGTTATTAGTGAACTATAAAATGTTACAGTTTCTTTACTGTTCACATTTTTGAATAAATTATAAAGGAAAATGAAATCTACTGCATTAAATAAAACGAATTAATAACATTTTCATCACTGAGGTTTGGAGAAAGTAGGCCCAATAAAATCTGAAAAAGTCATTATAATTCCTATCAAACTATTGCAGCTAGAAAAAATAAAACAGTGGAAAGGTGTGGTTATCATTTTATGCTTTTTAAGAATAATAAAATGAAATTAAAAAAAGAAACATTTTAATTTAAAAAAATTAAAAATTAAAAAAGATAAACAATAAAGGACAATAAAATTTGATATGATAAATTTTTTAGGTTTTTGAAGGTAGGGATTTTTATTTTTAATTTTTAATTTTAGTTATTAATTTTTTTAAAATTTTTATAAATTCTATTAGTTTTATTTTCTTTTTCTTTTTTTGGATAAGTAAACTTTTCATAAAAAGAGAGAAAGAATGTACAAGAGACCAACCTACCTCAAGACAAGCCCTGAGTTAGGAGCAAAAGAATGATACTATCAAGACAACTTTGAATCTTCTCTTTTTTTCATTTCTCTTATCAAAAAAAATGGAATCAGACGGAGATTAAAGAATACAAAGAAAACCTACTTACCACAAGACATGCCTTAGGTTAGGTTCATTAGTATCCAAAAAACAAAAACCTCCCCAACTCTTCACAATACATTGCATACCAAAGGATGGTAACCTCCGAGGCTATACAACCATCCACCCCCAAAAGCCAAACCAACAAGAACATCCAAAACAAAGCATCCACCCAAGGAAGAATGCAACCATCCCAACAACCCCCCCCCCCCCCCCCCCCCCCCCCCCCCCAACACACAAAAAAAAAACATTTCAATTTTTATTTCATTGTAATTATATATTAATCTCAGAATTCCTAATTTTTATTTTTTATTTATTCTTCCTAATTAAAAAAAGGGGGTATCATAGATATTTCAGTTTCAGAACTTAGTGTTGATGTCAAACTCCCACATCGCTAGGAGACAAGGGCCTTGTTCGTTTATGTAGCATAAGGACACCGTCACCACACAGATGCGCCTTTTCAAAACAAAGTGTGCGGACCTACTAGCAATCCACTTGTGGCCCAAAGCAGACATACCTTAGAAACCCATCACTCCATGTGACTGAGATGGCATGAAACAACAGTTGGCACTAGAAGAGGGCTCGGGTTTACTTGGGCTAAGCGTGCCAGTTTGTACCCATGCCAAACCTCCCAAGCCCCTCACTTGGGGGGTTGTGTTGATGTCAAAATCCTACATTGCTAGGAACGAGGGCCTTGGTCGCTTATGTAGCACAAGGACACCGTCACCACTTAGAGGCACCTTTTCAGGACAAACTGTGTGGGCCTACCAACAATCAACATGTGGCCCAAAGTAGACAATACCTCTGGGAATCCACCTACCATGTGACTGGAACGACATAACAACAATTAGCTTAATAGTCTAAAAAAGACTATAATGACCTTTTTAGATTTTGTTGGACTAAAGATACTCTCCAAACCTCAGGGACGAAAGTTATTAATTTCAAATAAAATTATGTACTTAATTATATCGATGATTTTTAAAATAATTAACCTTAATTTCTTTTTCTTTTTTACCCTCTTTTGTAAATTTATTATGTCATCCTCTCATTTGGACAATTTCTATTTAGTCATTATTCTTTCAAACATTAGAGAGGATTGCAATGTTTTAGATGGCTATGAATGTTGGAAGTGACTCATTAGTTGTCCACTAATTTGAATTCAATTCAAATATTGGCAGTTACTAGTTGTTTTAAATTTGTCGGTTACA